CACACCCCCCCCCGCCCCCTTCACCAGCTCCTACTTCGTGCAGTTTGTAGCCCTGGGTCTCGTAGTGTCTAGGAGTCCAGCGCTAACGCAGCCCCGGGCTTCCCCCAGAGGAAGGGGGCAGGCCCTGATTTCCTCGCCCGGCTCACACGTTCCGCGTTTCCCGGGTCTGCTATTTTTGTAAATGGGATGTCGGGAGGGATCGGATGACACGGAGAGGCCACAGGGCTTATAGTGCAGTGGAGCGGTGGGCACTAGTCTCCCAGGCGCTGGGGACCGGGTCGGCTGCAACACGCTTCTAGCGCTCTTTCCCACTGCCGCAGTCCCACGGCGAGGAGCTGCGCTTCGTGGAGAACGGCTGCCACGACAACCCCACGCTGGACGTGGCCAGCGACAGCCAGTCGGAGATGCAGGAGAAGCAGCCCAGCCTGAACGGCGGCGGGGCCATCAATGGCCCCGGGAGCTGGAGCGCACTCATGGGCGGCAAGCGCGACCCCGAGGACTCGGACGTGTTCGAGGAGGACACGCACCTGTGAACGCCGCGGGCCACCGAGCCGCACGGGACCGCGTGGGAGCCCACGCCACCCCTCCCGGCGCGCCCCCTAACCCCTAGCCCTCGGCGCGGGGCTCCCTCGCTTCCCCGCCTCCTGGCGACTGCGGCGCAGCTCCCACCCCGCCCCGCCCGGCCCTGAGCCTTGCCCGCGGGCGGCGCTCCCTGCGCCCGGACTCCATTAAAGCCGCCGAGACCGCGCGGGCCGCTCCGCCTTCTCGCCTAGTTCTTGCTTCTCGGGGGTTGGGCTGGGGCGGGGGCTCTAGAGGGTGGGCGGTGCTAGAGGCTGGAAGAGTGGGGTCTGGGTCGGGTGGGCGGGGCCCGATGAATGGCTCTTTGTGGTGGGCGTGGTTAAGGAGGGGCCGTAGAAGAGAACGGTTCTCTGAGCGGGTGGGTGGACCGGGGCCGAGTGGGCAGAGTGCGGGTAAGGCGGTCTTTCGCGGCTTTCTCTGGGAGGGACCTGGACTCGGGGCGGGGCCCGATACGGACTGTGCTCTGGCAGGTGGGCGGGGCCAAGGTCGGTGGGCGGAACCGGCCGGGCTGTCCGCCCGGGGGGAACCGGCGTGTGTAAAGGATGGATGGGGCCTTGGGAGTAAACTGCTCTGGGCTTGCGGGCTCGGCCTGGAGGGGGGCGCTGCTCCGGCGAATGGGCGGGGCTAAGGTTGGTGGGCAGAGCCCAGGCCGGGCGGTCCTCCGGGCGCCAGGCGCCGCTGCAGAGCCGACCCGGGGCCCTTGCGGTCCGCGCCGCGAGGGGCGGGGCGGTGCGTGTTTACATCTGGCCGGGCCTGAGTCGCTGCCTGAGGTTGCTTCGCTTGGGTCCGAGCCTCCCTCACCATGGACACCAGCGACCTGTTTGCCAGCTGCAGGAAGGGGGACGTGGGCCGTGTTCGGTGAGGACCCGAGCGCTCGGGGCCGGGCGGGCACCTTGGGCCCAGGGTGCGTGGGAGTGAGAGCCGGCCGCAGCGGGCGGGAGTACGGATGCGGACAGAGCCGGAGGAGAGGCCGAAGAAGGGAGGGGAGAAGGCCGGGCCCGCCGGCCCGCCACAGGCCTCGGCTCCAGACGTGCCTCTTCCTAACTTGGCCCTGGGAAGTGACTTCCCCACCACTGCGGTGGCCAGACGGTCCCGATGAAGCTAGTGCAAGCCTGGCGCGGAGGGATGGTGCTGTTTCTAGGGCAAGCGGGGAGAAGTTCCTAGTTGGGATCCGGGCTCCCTGGCGTGCACTCTTCCTTGATGGACTCCTTCCTCCATGGCCCTCTCTTCTCAGCCCCCTGGTCCTGTCTCAGGGGCATCCTGGTTGCCGTGCTCTCCCAAAGCCTCTTTAGGTCTGTCCCCAGCACCAGACGCCGTCCTAGAGTTAGACTTCAATGTGACTGCAACTCAGAAAGCCCAGGTCCTGCCTGGATTCCGCCCTTGGGCTACCCTGCCCCCAGTGGTGGCTTCCCATTGCGTGACCCTTGTCCCCAGCAGCCTGTTCCTTACTCTTCTACCGTAAATCTGCCCCGACCCCTGTTCCCTAACCCCAGAGTGCCTGCAGCAGCTTCCCTCTGCCTTCCCTGCCTCCACCTCCCCAGGCAGCCTATGGGTTCTAGCTGAAGTAGGGACCCCATGACTTACTCCCAAATACCACAAAACCAAATTCTTAGCCTCCTCAGCCCCGGGGTTAGCCTCTGTCCCTGCCCATCACCCACCACACAGTTGCTGACAGCTTCAGCGGCTTCCCCAGCCCAGAGAGATGTGGCCTCCTTCTCCTCCCTGGTCTCCTCTCCCAGACTAGAAGCAGTTCTGACCAGGTTCTGATTTTCCTGGCCAGGTACCTGCTGGAGCAGCGAGATGTGGAGGTGAACGTGCGAGATAAGTGGGACAGCACCCCCTTGTGAGTGTACACAGTGGGGTGGCTGGGTGGGCAGGGTGAGCCTGCCCTGCTGATGACTGCCTTCCCTTTCTCTAGGTACTATGCCTGTCTCTGTGGGCATGAGGAGCTGGTGCGTTACCTGCTGGCTAATGGTGAGAGGGTCAGGGTCTGACACTGTGTGTGAAGTTTTGTGTGTGTACTGATTGGTGACCAAAACGAAGAGAGAGAGAGAGAGAGAGAGAGAGAGAGAGAGAGAGAGAGAGATCGTGAGTTTGAGCCCTTACTGCACATTTGTAAACATGCTTGGTTTCTTGCTGACACCCCACAGTCAGTAGCTTTCTCCATTGTGTACTTCCCCATTCCACCTCTGCCACCCAGGGCAGTTATGTGACTGTCCCTGGACTGTGATACTATTGGTCTTCTAGCTACCCCTCTTGCCCTACCTATCTGTTTTTCACTTTGCAGGCAGGAGATCTTCCCACTGCAGAGTTGATGGGTGTTTATGGATGTTTGGGATAAAAGTAGCTAGGTGTGATGTCTCACACCTGTAACCCTAGCACTCAGGAGATTAAGGCAAGGGGATTATCTCCATTTCAAGGCCAGCCAGGGCTACATGGTAAGACTGTCTCAAAAAACCCCACAAAGGATAAAAACCTGTGGGCTCAGCCATTCCTGTGAATCTCCATAGGACCTGCCTCCCCCTCCTCTGCCATGCCTCCATGGCTCCCCCTCCAGCTGGCTCCCAAGCTGTTCTACCTCACAATGTCCCACTAAGCAGAGCATGTCTGGCCTCAGGCCTTTGCAGTTGCAGTACCTCCTGCCTAGACTGATGTTCCCAGATCTGTGCACCACTCAAGTCCCTGCCCCTGGCCACCACAATGACTTTCATGGCCTCCCCATGGGGCACCCACCCCCACTGTTTCCCATGGTCCTACTTCATAATAATGGTGGCTTTCACATGGTAAGTTGTTAAGGTGCCCCAGCAGTGTGTACAGTAGGGGCAGGAACCTGCCAATCTTGATAGCCTGTGTACAGGGCCAGCCACCCAGACTGTGCTTAGTTGTGTACAGACTGGTGTGTGTGTGTGTGTGTGTGTGTGTGTGTGT